GGCGGCGGCTTCCCAGCGCCTGGTCTGCTCCCGCTCCAGGTGCCGGAGCCCTGGGGCCCGCCAGCCGCTCACTATGACCGGGCAGAGCCTGCGGGCTTTAGCCGAGGCGAACGTGGAAGACGGCGAGATCAGCATCAACGTGGGAGGCTTTAAGAAGAAGATGCGCTCCAACACCTTGCTGCGGTTCCCGGAGACGCGCCTGGGCAAGCTGCTGAGCTGCCACTCCCGGGAGTCGATCTTGGAGCTGTGCGACGATTACGACGATGCCAAGAACGAGTTCTACTTCGACAGGAACCCCGAGCTGTTCCCCTACGTGTTGCACTTCTACAACACGGGCAAGCTGCACGTCATGGGCGAGCTCTGCGTGTTTTCCTTCAGCCAGGAGATCGAGTACTGGGGGATCAATGAATTCTTCATCGACTCGTGCTGCAGCTACAGCTACCACGGCAGGAAGATGGAGCCCGATCAAGAGAAATGGGAAGATCAAAGCGAGCAGGAAAGCACCACCTCTTCCTTCGATGAGATCTTGGCCTTCTACAACGATGCCTCCAAGTTTGACAGGCAGCCCTTTGGAAACATCCGGAGGCAGCTCTGGCTGGCTTTGGACAACCCTGGCTACTCCGTCTTGAGCCGAATATTCAGCATCCTTTCCATAGTGGTTGTTCTCGGCTCCATTGTGACCATGTGCCTGAACAGCCTTCCAGACTTTCAGATTGTCGACAGCAGTGGGAATTCGGAGGAAGATTCCCGATTTGAAATCGTGGAACATTTTGGGATTGCATGGTTCACCTTTGAGCTGGTGGCCAGGTTTGCCGTGGCTCCTGACTTCTTCAAGTTTTTCAAGCATGCACTAAATCTGATTGACCTCATGTCCATCCTCCCATTTTACATTACCTTGATTGTTAACTTGGTTGTGGAAAGTAGCCCGGCATTAGCAAATTTAGGGAGAGTAGCCCAAGTCCTGAGACTTATGAGGATCTTTCGGATCTTAAAACTTGCTAGACATTCGACTGGCCTTAGGTCTCTTGGAGCCACCTTAAAGTATAGCTATAGAGAGGTAGGACTTCTCTTACTTTACCTCTCTGTTGGGATTTCTATCTTCTCAGTAGTAGCTTACACCATTGAAAAAGAAGAAAACGAGGGTTTGGCCACCATCCCTGCTTGCTGGTGGTGGGCTACAGTTAGCATGACCACAGTTGGCTATGGAGATATTGTCCCAGGGACCACTGCTGGCAAACTGACAGCATCTGCATGCATCCTAGCTGGTATCCTGGTGGTAGTGCTTCCTATAACTCTCATCTTCAATAAATTCTCTCACTTCTATAGGCGTCAGAAGCAGCTAGAAAGTGCCATGAGGAGCTGTGATTTTGATGATGGAATGAAAGAGGTTCCATCAGTCAATTTAAGGGACTACTATGCCTATAAAGTAAAATCCCTTATGGCCAGTCTTACCAATATGAGCAGGAGTACTCCCAGTGAACTAAGTCTCAATGATTCTCTGCATTAGTGTGCAGTTCAGACAATAATTTGCATGATATATTTCAAGAGCTGTGTTTATAAATTGTAGTTTTCCTAATTGTAGTTCTTTTCCTGTGGGATAGTATCAGTGACACTGCACTAACTTTGTGCTGCTGAGCAAAATGAAATTTAGTTACCAACTGACAATTTGCACATTTCCATCCTGTTGCATAGAAACTAAATGCTCATTTTTCTATAGAATGGTTATTGTGTCCATGACACTAGTGCTAGTGATGCAGTGCTAATTTGTTACTTTGTGTATTTGCTTTAGAAGCCCTTGTGTGAGCAGAGAAATGAGCTTACTCAGGGGGAAACATAGCAGTGAAATTAACAATGAAATAACCCATTTTCATCTACACTGATATGACCAATCTTCATAATCTGTACAGTTGCCAGTGAAAGGCCATCACAAGGCAGACTTAAAACTTGAAGAACATCTTAAAGCACTTGACACTACTGTAATTTTTTAATCACCTGTGAATACTTTACATAGAAATACATGGCCACCTTTTTATGACTAGTAATTCTAATGTTAACCACATTGCTGTAAAGGTTATTGAGTGCAGCATTTCAGTTAAATTTCATATTTTCTCCAGAACAAATGTGTTAAGAAGTGGATGTTCTTCTTTTGAAATCAGACCTATTGGGTGATCTTTTCACAAATTTTAGTTTTGACCTAACCTGGCTTCCCACTATGTTAGTAATAATGTCCCTATCTATCCCAGTGGGAGCAGTATTAAACCAAAACTGCACTTTTGAAAAGCCCATCCATGCACCTTCAGTGGCAAAAAACCCACAAAGCAACTTTTGCAAACTGGCCTCTGATTGGCAGGGGGAGGAGGGCAACAAAACGTCTCAGACTTGGTTTTTCAAGGAGATAAGTACTGGTGAGTTCAACAGAAGTTGACTGGCATCTCTGGAAGGCACACACGTGGAATCTGAAGGTAGGCACAAAAAAATGGAAGCCTCTATCATTTAAAAGCCAATTTTGAAATCCTGGGCTGGTCTAATTAAAGGGAACATTCTCATGTGAATGGTAAAGATAGTATTTTAGGAACTGGCATTTACCTAGCGTAAGAAGACTAATTAAAATGATGGCATATATTCATGTAGTATACAATCTAATTTTATCAGGGAGGACTTTTTTTAAGATTGGCATACAACTGAAAACAGGTGCCACTGAAATATATAATATTTTTACTTAGAAATTATTACAAAAAACATTTGTCTTTAAGGAGAATTATTACAACTAAAATACATATAATGTTTAATGTTGTCCTCATTGGGCCAGACCCTCAACGGGTATAAATAATTTAAACCAGCTGAGGAGCTGACCATGTATTTTTCAAAACTTATTTAAAAAAAAGAGACAGCAAATCTGATTTTCCATTGAACTACATAAATTAATGTTAGGAGTGCTCAGAGATTTTCCACAAAGTAACAGTTCTCAGCTTTCAGACAATCAAATATTCTCAGCTTTCAGACAATGTCTTCTCTGATAAGATGAAACAGTGATAGCATTGTAAGGAACCGTGCTGTCAAACAACCTGCATTCAGCTAGCAAAATGGTCCTTTGCTGTTCCAACTGTGGTATGCTTCTATTTAGTCTTCAAGTCGATTTACACCCTATTCACTTATCGAGACAAAGGGGCTTCTGAGAATGGATTCAAAATAAACAGATTAGGACGTGGATTAAAGCATTAAGGCCGAAAACTGTCACTTTAAAATGAGGTACCTTACTCAATATTTAGTCACATAAATCAACATGGCCTAACTATCAGAGATACTGGGAGCATATACACATGCATTAATGTGCCTTTTCTAATGCGCATTAAATTTAGTTCCTCCAATGTAAGGTTCTAAATTAACGCACATTAGGCTATGCTAATGCGCAGTAGTACATTTTCATGTTTTTTTAGTGATGCTTAATGCACAGATTATTTTACTGAGCATTAGCATAATGTCACTGTTTGTTACGGGATGCTTTAATGCACAGTAAAATAGTCTACTGTGCATTAAAGTGTATGTGTAGATGCACCCACTGAGCATATGAGGATCCCATTGTATTTATAAAGGCACAGATTTTGTCAAAGTGGACCAGACCTATGGTCTGTTTAGTCTGGGTACCTCCAAGTATCTTGCTATAAGCTGGTATACAATAACTTGCCCATAGAGAAAATTTTCTGAAACATGCACTGAAAAATGAGAGATTTTATATAATTTCTAGATTTTTTCTTTTTAAAAAAACCTTATTAATATCCACACATTTCTTTATAGCTCTAACTTCAAGGGGGAATAACAGTGGTCTAAACATCATACCTGCATGAAGATAGATATTAGATGCCAAAATTTAGACAGCCATATCTGAAAAGTTTTGCCAAGGTTTACATCTCTGGAGGACAGAGTTCACATTCTGTGTAAGATAATGGCTATTAAACCACAGTTTGGTGGTCCCTTTCAAGTACATAACTGGATGTTTGGAAACTACCATAAACTTTGAAATGAGGGCAAAGTAAAGCACAGCTCTATATTGTGTGCATTTCAGGTCAGCATCAGTGCAGCTTGAAAAAAGTATGTTGCAGATTTTCCATTCCTACTTATACACAGTGTAGTCTGAATCCTGAGAGCATGACAAACTTAAATTGATGTAAGGGATAGTCTGGCCTTAATCAGGTCTAAACCAGGGTGGATTGGCAATTTATACACTAACTAATTTGGAGGTATATAGCATAAGCTTTCATGAGCCTGAGCTCACCGAAACTCATGGAAGCTTATGCTATAGAGCTCTGATTTATTTAGTTTATAAGTTGCAAATATACCTTGCCTTTTGCCTGACTGCAGACCAATATGGTTAACTATTCTCTCTCTCCATTAGCTCTCCCACGTTAGGGCCTGTACAGAATCTAGATTTAGCCAGTTACACAAACAATGAATTTATGGAGTTTTTAAAACTCCATTAAAAATAATCCCAAGTAGTATATTCATTTTTAGACCAGTTCCTTCAGCAGAAATATAGACTTGCCAAATGGTCACAAATTCCCCCAGCTGTTGTTAGTTTAGCATTGCATAGTTTGGATCCCAACTTTATAATGCATCATTTAAATAACCTATAGATTATCTTGTGTCCTAGATTTATTATTCATGGGGCCAATAATAAGTCATTTCTGTAGAAATTGAATGGAATGTTTCCAAATTGCATTTTATTACAAAAAAGGAAGTGCCCCAAAGAGTCACTTCTTTTATTGTATTGGTTAAAAGGAATTTCATTATTGCATTTTATATAATTGCTTTCAATCAAAGATGCTAAAAACTAAGATATGATTCAGTATGATAATGGTTTTATACAGAACTTATATGAGAGGTTTCAAAGCCACTTTACAAACCATGTTTTATATAAAGGAATTATTCCATTCACCACATAAATGCAGCAGCTTCTGGGAGGAAAATTGCCACTGTTTAGCACAGGAAATACCAAATTTCTTATTTACAAGAGGATATTTAGGCAAATTGAATGTAATTGTCCAAACCTGGCATTTTCCCAAGACACTAGGAATAAGATAGAAGAAGATACAATTTAAGAAATGCAAATGGTTGTAGTTGTTGGCATTAATTTCTCTGATGTCATAAACATGTTGCTTGCCTTGGTAAAAAATAATGTTGCATTATATTTTTAATTACTAATGCAAGGAAAGAAAGGTGCTAAAGCCTCACTTACATGTTGTATATAAAAAGAACAAGCAAAATAGCCCAGAACCCTTTAAACACCATTAATTCTGATTTAAACAATACTGAAAATATGTACCTGTAGGGAAGAATGAGATATGTTACTCACTATTTCATGAGCTAGCTATTTCATAGCCCAATTCAGTTAAGTACCAAGCACCCCTATCTTCAATTAGCTTAAATAGAAGTTAAAGAAAAATACTCCGTATTTAGAAGGAAAAACTTTTCATCTTATGGGACTGGCCTTAATGCTGTAATGAAGGCAGGAAGAGACCTGGGTTTTTTTGTTTTTTGGGTTTTTTACCAGTCAGTATCCCATCAGATTGTTTTAGAAAACCAGTTTGTTCATTTGAGAGAGTTAATGAAAGATTAGGTCCTGAGTTAAGGGTGAGAGGTATAATTGATAGCATTCTATTATGCTCTGGACTTGAAATTACCATGGTCAGGAAGGAATGTTTTCTATGCAGGTGCAGCCTAATGAAGAGTATCCTGCTCAGCATGACTTCCCTCTACTTTATAAAGGGCACATTTCTGACATCAGAGGAAACCCTGGGACAAGTTGCTATTATCCTCTGTATACTAAAAGATTTGAAGTGGTTAAATGTGCATTTTGTTAATATTTCAAACTGTGCCCCTGCTTTGCTAGAGGGATTAAACTTTTTACAGAATTCTGATTTCTGCTACAAATATGAACTGAGATCTATGGAGTATTATGGATTATGGAGATCTAGGGATGTCACTGAGGAGCAATGTGTTATATAGGCTTCTTGGCATGTATGATTTATTGATAGCTTGTAACTAATCAATTATTTTTGGTTTAGTTTTGTATTTACATTTGTTTTATTATTCATTTATTTTAGTCAATAGCTAATTCTCCCCTATGCAGATTGTAAATTATCGACTTTGAAAGCAGCCTTTGTCTTTCTTGTATATTACAGCATAATCTATTTCCCATCTGTAAGCTTCAAACTAAGAACTTTGTGTTTAGTGCTTCAGTTTTAACACCTATTGTATTTTCATGCCATTGTACAGGGTTTTATTAAGGCTACACTGAACTATTCTGACAGCTGTCATTTGAACATCATAGCAGGTCCCAGCAGTGTACAATCACATTGATGCACAGTAATTCAATCCTATGCCACATCATACAAATTAAAAGTTAAAATATTATTTACATTTAAACAAGGAATTAAAATTTGTTCTAAACTTCAGGGCATTCCAAACATATATTAGCATAACTGAAGAGAAGCCTAGATCTCCTTCTAA